AATTTTGCTGGAAAACGGTGCTAGAGCGTGTACGTAAGCCTGACATTATAGGCGGCGATTATGGATGTTTGATGGTTAGAGATTGATGCTAGATAGAGAAAAATAGTATGGAACATCTCTATGGAAACTAACCTGGACTACAGCAAGAACTTCAAATACAGAATGCTGAGGTAAACTAACCGACTGTTCTCTAAATTTTACTATCTGTAGCCTTTAGGTTCCGCGGGGGTTTTCGCTTGGGGCACCGTCACTGGTCACCTGTCCGACTGTATTGCAGCAAAATCTCCCAGTTGGTGAAAACGTTGACATCTAAGCCCTCAATCGAAACTACCAACAATTTGAGTTCTTGCAAAAGAATTTATACTTCTCCCTGTTCATAAAGCACAGTGAAACTCTGCGACAGAAGCTTTGGTTCTATTCACTAGAATCTAGCTTCTTGATGTAGAGTGTCTAGTGGAATTTACTAAACGTGGTCTGCAGATCAAATGGAGCGACCGGTAGAGTATAAGTTTAATTTCAACCTTCAGTCTTTAACAAGTAAAAATACTAAAAAATGTGTATATGCGCAATTTCCTTGTCATAATCTTTACCTTGTTTTTGCCATAAAGTTGATATTGCCAGTTAACGACCAGATTAACTAAACGTGCTCTGGAATATTCGATGATCACTGACTAATTGTGAAATTTGGAGTTAACTATCTTAATCTATGTTCAAGGCGACACTGCGTTTCCCTCAGACGAAATAGCAAAGGAAGTAATTAATCGTGTATCTGGTGTGCACACGACTACATCCGGCTTCCATCACTGTTGTATACCGCTCAACCCTTCTAGCACATTTTTCCTATGTATAACAAATATTTTTGGCGAAAATGGTTAAAGACATATCCCAAAAGTAAAACCCCGGTCAAATTTAAATCCGCAGCTTACGTCAGTTACTAAATAAAATTTATACTACCTTCCTGCACATTCTGTTCTGTATGTATTTATCTAACAATAATTTTTATACGCATATCTGGGTACATATTGCATATCATACATATAAAAGCAACAATTCAAGACGGTTTTCTTACACAGATAAAGTTTAGCGCTCTGGATATTCTTGCGGGTTGCCTGATAATATTGTGTTAAATCTAGTGTATACCTCTAGTTGGACAGGTAATCTGAGTTTGTTAGTTTGGACCAACGACACTGACTGCAAAGGCCTTCTTTGAGTTTCACACGTAAACACATATTTAATGGTTGGTGAGCAGCTCTGCATCTTCAAGATTAATTGGACAATAAGGCTGAACAACAGGCTTTGGCTACGGTGCAATTCCATCATTTAGTTAAGAAATGTAATATATCAACTACTGTTCTAAGTAAAACCTTATAGCAAGTAGTTGATTTCGACGCAGACAAGGATGCTACGCTTATTGTTTGATTTTCCATGTAAAAAATGATAATCCGAGACATGAATTTTAATGATGTACAAACTGTTGCACTTGTAGCCCATTGCCATATTTTGACAGTTGGTACCAAATGCAGCCTTGCTTTCACATAGTTGGTTGACTACTAGTTTTGAAACGTAATAAGAAGAATAATGTGCCAGATGTACGCTGTAACGGTGCTTCGCTGCCGCGCGACCACCACCAATCGCGCGCGGGCTCAGTATACCGCGAGGAAGCCCACCCCTCAGTCTCAAATCGTGTTATACATTCCTTCAGATTAGGCTGCGCGTAAATCTTTCCCAATAAAAGAGCGTAACCCATAATTTCCAGGAAGATCCACAAGTCTTGCTGAGGTACTGTACCTGATAGGCCGGATTTGTGATAAGCATTTATCACAAAACATGAGCTCCTTTTGTCACACGAAAGTATATACTTTAAAGATTTTCATAACAAGCCTTGTAGATAAGCAGGTGAGTGACGATGCTCAATCCAAAGATTATATTGGCATGACGCACTCTCCTCCACGTAAGTTGATCCTTACTATGGAAGCCACCGAGATTTTAACCCCAGACGACCAGAAAAATAAACGAAGCTACCATTAAAAAGTGCCAAGTAATCCGACAGATCGATGGTCGGCCATTCCTTCTAATTTCCGAACTCCTACACTGCGTCATGTCTTCCAACGTGGAGTTGCACTTTTTGGGCGCTCGTGTATTTTGTAGGTCATCCTCACAACTTTGAAGCCAAAAATGAGATCGGTTCGGAAGTATCAGCGTACTATACACTAAACTTTTGTATTAGCCTTAACATCTAGAGCTAGTTTTCGGATTCTTTTACTTGCGTTTTAGACGACAGCCTTAGATGCGTATTCTGACTAGAAATATTCAACACCGTTTGTAGTAGCTGGGTCGTATTTTGCAGGATGTTGCCACTCACCCAGCATCCAAGCGAAATTGTTCCATAACGGAAACACCAGTGCTTCTTAGCTACCTTGTCTACCAGCGCGCCTGCGTAACGTATCACTGACCAAAGCAGTCGTATTGACCGCTAGTCCGTCCTCACGTGAATTTTGTAACCATACGGTTCACCCACCCGGCGTGTGCAACCGACTAGGCTTAAAAGTACAGGATATTAACGGGTTCACCAGGTCATGTGATGGCACCGTGCTGGGTAGTGAAGCACGTTATTGGAAAACAACGATGGATATAGAAGAATTGGACCTGTAAGTGAGGAAAATGTAGTCGTTTGGTCAAATTAAGATTGGCATAATGGCACTTCCAAATGGTTTCACCCATTGTACTAAATTATCTTCACGATAGGCGAGAGCGGAATAGCTCACCAGACGTCTCTTAGTTTTGTACTTCGTGTTCGGCCCTGTTGTACATCGAAAAGTTTGAGCAGTTGGCAATAGAAGCCAAAAGCGGATGGACATCAAGGTTAATGCATGGGAAGCAAGCACGTGGCAGATGTGTATAGTGAACTCTAAAGGCATTTTTCACCATTTACATCTCTGAACCACAAGGGGCAAGATTCCAATTGTGGTTATCTGCAATAAATCTACAGAATGTGAAAAAATCATCCTGAACCTGTATTCAAGCGATACTGATTGTAGAAGATTCCCAAATGTCCTATCCTCTGCTGCCTTCCTACTGTTTTTACCTCATGGTTGTGATCCCCTTTACCATTTACCCAACTCCTTTCCTTGTCCCAATCGATCTTTATTATTTAGCTCTTAATGAAGATTGTGTACCGAGCCAGTTTAATTGCACTTTACACACCTAGATGACCTGCATTCAACCGTGCATGTATTTCCAAGTACTGAACAGACCTAATTGTCGCTTCAGATGGCTTCGCCTCATAGTATCCTTTCGTGATGTTCCGTTTTAACTTCTTGGCCGTGGCATTCAGATACTGGCGAGTAAGACATTCTTCACATCGCATGTGATCTGACGATGTTGCAAGATCATGTAAGTAGCGTTCGCATACATGAACCCACCTCGTCCGTGAGGACAATTGTAAATGTTACTCCATGTGCAATTGGAACACTTGAAATACCACCACGGTGAGTGTGTGTGTAAGGCACTAGCCAAACGCCTACTTTTTACGGCAACCTCTATTTCCAGTTGCTCATGTGTAAGCCTATTAGAACCAGAGTACATTGAGAACAACTTATTCTACGTAAACTTGAAGCTCAGGTTGCTGACTACCTTGGACTGTTGTCGTTGTTTGATACGCCTGTGCCGGAAGCACAGATTGTTGAGTACCGTACTTCAGTTCCGATGTTGTTTTGTTGAAACCGGTGGAAACGGGTTCACTCAAGACCTCTAAGCGAATTGTCGCTTACAGTACTCAATATCGCTTCCTCGTATTTAGAGTGAAGTCTTGAGTGCCGTGGACTAAAACGTTTAACAACAACTGTCTTTGGAGTTCAACACGAGGCTCAATAATCTCTGGTGACCGCTGTGGATCATGCATCGCAAGAACAATTGTCCCGGAGTATCTGTGAAAACTGAAGAATCCGGCAAGTCCTTGATGATAACTTTTCATATATAACTTTTCAGATATTAGCAGTAGAAGTAGACGTAGTGTGCGTTCCATCAGCACCCTTGCAGCGCTTAAGTTAGCAGAGTTGAAGAAGGAGCAGTTATATGCCGAAATAGAGAGACAATCAACGATATCATTTGTAGGCCGAAACCGAAGTAAAGATGGTTAAGCTGCCTTTGGAAATGGAAGGGGTTAAAGTTTTTGAACCAACTTTTAATCTTTGTCGATCACATAGTTAGCAATGAGCAGCTGGATGGGCTTGTTGAAGAGAGCCATGGATTGTTGCCTGAGATGACCGGTCTTAACTTTTCTCCTGACAGTTTACGCAAGGGCTGTCGCCAACCAGTACACTTACCTAGAGTAAAGTTGGAGATTCTGCTGGTAACCCTGCTACTTATTGGAGATTTCATAAACTGTTTTAACATTTTATCGAAAGCCGGGTCTCCAACAGTAGGTAGAGAGTACTTTGTTTTGTATATTATTGCCGTGGACGTGCAAAGGAGGCCATCATCGAGTGTGTTAGGTTACCGTCTGCCAAAGCATACGACAGAGAATAATGTGTTCTTTGCGAGCTTTTCAGGCAAAATCATACAGTAGCTAGATCACTAATTGATGACTTATTGACTGGTCGAAAACCACGTTCTGTTGACTCGGAAGATTTGTCCAAGATTTTTTCGAAGATGGAAAATTGTTATGGAGACCTTTGAAAATGTATTTCACAGCCGATCTGAATTCTTTTACCATTACGTTACTATCATCCAGCCTACAGTCAAGATGGGCAAGAGTAGCTGACTCCATTATCCTTGATGGAAGGAAAGTCGAATTCAATGATCTGGCGGATTTCGTAGCAGCCGAAGCTCAAGTTGCACGAAGTATATTTGGCCAGATTGCCTCCTCAGATACGTTACGACAAAATTCTGCGGCAAACAAACCGAGAGCAGATGATAAACGAAACAAACGTAACTGTATCCTCTATCCCAGTTCAAGTGATTCCCATAGACCAGTGTGTTTGTCGTCTGGTAGTGGACATGTAATAACCGCGTGCCGGAGTTTTCTGGCTTCAGATGTTCGTAGCAGGTGGAATCTCATAAAATCTAGAGGATGCTGCAAGTGTTTGAAGGTCAACCGCCAATCCGTCCACTGTCCAGAAAAGGAAGGATGTAAAGTGCATTTTGTATAGGACAACATCATCTACTGCTCCATTCAGAGCCAAGACACATCGCTCTCCCGACAAAGGAAGGCAGTCGCGTTTTACCTTCAATGTACAACAGCAGGTGTGTTTAGGAGTATTACCTTTAAGCTTAGAAGGTCCGTTGGGATTCTTTGAAACCTACGCCCTGTTAGATACTGGTATGAATATTACGTTAGTGGAGAAAGTAATTTTACAACGAGCGGGCATTAAAACCATACCGACGCGTTTAGAATTCACGAAGATGTTGGGTTCATCCTCACAGGAATCAGGGTGTGCCGACTTCATAATGTCATCACTGAACAGCACTGATACAATTTCTGTTAGACATGCCCACTGTTTACCAAACTTGTCTTTGAAGCCCATTATAACTCTAGTGATGAAGTTGGCGCGCCAGTCGCCACAAATGATGGATTTGTCCTTTGAAGAAATTAAGTACAGCCGTGTCCGAATTCTCATGGGCGCAGTCGTTTCGGAGGCACACTGACATTTGGAGCAACGATTGGGGAGCAGCAATCAACCGTTTGCCGTAAAACCCTACTTGGCTGGACGTTACTTGGGCTAGTGGGAGAGTGCAAAACCGTGCAATACTCCATAATCAACCAGCTGACAATTGAAGAACAGTTGCATAGGTTGTCCAACAGGGACTTTGCACATGTGGACTCAGGAACTCATAAAACTTCAGCGGAAGACAATACGATTTTTGATTGCGCAGAATTCCTGGAATATGATAAATGGTCATTTTGAGATCGGTCTTCCCTGGCGAAACTCGCGGGCATGAATGCCAAATAACTAAGAGATGGCTTAGCAGCGGTTATAACATATACGAAAACGTCTGAGAGCCAAACAATCTTTCCGTGAAAGATATTCGGCAGTTGTAGAGGCTACTGTTATTAACGAGTATGCCGTTGTAGCGACCTGGAGATTCCCCCGTATGACTGTGTAAACTATTCTAAAATACATTCAAATTATAGCTTTCTTATGTATTAGGGAACTAGGCGGTTTGCCTGTTGGAACGTTGTTCCCGTTTGTTGAAAACACGAACGCCATCTCCGCCTTTGGCGCGCGCGACTCGATTGCGAACGACGCTCTGTCAACGCACTCGACGCCATCGACATTCTCCCTAGCTAGCTCGCTCTGGGTGCCCTATTTTTAGCATTAGCTAACGCTCCTCCCGTCCAATAAACTTTTCTCTAGCTTACTGTTGTGTCTTCTATCCATTATTTTTGGTTGGCCGTCTAGTCGCGTGCCGGATATATAGCGCACGATCTACGCGCTATACCGTGCCTGTTCCATCTAATCAATTGGAGCCTAGCAATGCTCTCAGGTGGGGTCCACCCAGTGACGTTGTGCTAAATCCTAAAAATATCAAATACGCTCTGGGTGCTATTCCATTGCGCCGTAACATACAAGGGCCTCCCTTTGAACGGTCATTTGTTACAAGGTCTGGAAAGCACATCTAATCTTATAGGAGCCTTGATGCGATTTGGAAACGACAGAGTCGCAGTTGTTGCGGACATTGAGAAGTTTGCGCAGCAGAAGGTTTCAGAGAAGGATCGCGGTGCCTTGCGTTTCTAATGGTTAAAAGAGACAGTAATTGCGACTCTGATATGTCGAAGTATCAAATGACCGCTCACCCACTTGAAGCGATTTCCTCCCCTTTTTGTGCTAGTTTTGTTTTACGTGAGACAGATTTAACTAACACATTTAACTAAACTAGACCTGAAGCACTCTTACCAGCAAACCGAACACGGCGAGGACCTACGTGCCTAAGCCATCATCAACACACATCTTGGATTATTTTGTTACCTACGCAAGCCTTTTGGACTAAGCTCTGCGCTAGCTATTTTCCCACGTATTATGGAATTTTTGGTGAAAGACGTACCAAATACTTGCTCTAGTCGGATGACATCTCCATCAATGGACGCACCCCTGATGAACACCTACTCATCTTGGATGTAGTTCTTCAACAACAGTCAACGTATAGGCTTGTTTAGTAGAAGAAAATGTGAGTAATTTGTTCCAAGTGTATGTTACCTTGGATATCAATTGTCACTAAATGGGTTACGCCCATAATAAGAAAATTCAAAACACTACTTAATGCACGGATACCCAAAAACGTGAATAAGTTGCGGTCGTTTCTGCCAGCGGTCACGAGGGGTTTTCCCTATTTAGACCGCTAGCGGCAACCCATTTACACTCGCCTCATCAACTCTTACGTAAAAGCAAATACTGGAATTGGAACCGAGTTCAGAAAAGTGCTTTTAACGCTAATCAGGAACCTTTGGCATCCACCGAAGCTCTTTAGCATTTCGACGCTCAGATGCCCATTGCTCTTTCTTGTGATGCTTTAACCTACGGTCTTAAAAATATATTATTGCTTAAACTACAGGACGGTTCTCGTCAACCTATTGCTTATGCTTCAAGAACCAGTAAGGCAGCAGAACGTAATTACTCTCAGTTTTGATCGAGATACAGCCGCGGTTATTTTAGGAACTATTTGGTTTTATCAATAACTACTCGGTCGACAATTTGTGACTTCCACAAACCATAAAAATTTCGTATCACATTTTGGCCATGAGAAAGGGATTCAGAAAATGGCCTCACATAGAATGGTCCATTAGGCATTCCTACTCTCTGTATATACATAAGAAGTTTGATCCCTCCGTGTCCGGTAAAATACCACTGCTGATGCCCTCAGTCGGCTTCCCTTACCGGAAGTATCTTCGGAAGAATTTGTCACACAGGAACTCGTGAGCCTTATTCAACACCTTAACAACTCTCCCATTACCTCAACAGATATACGCCGAGAAACTGAAAAAGACCCTATTTTAGCACGCGTAAGACGCTACGTTTATGTCAAGTGGCCAAGATATACGACCACTGAACTCATGCCTTTTCGTAACATATTGACCGAACTCTGTCACCATGATGGACGTGTACTGTGGCGAGTCCGGGTTACAGTTCCCAAAAAATCTGCGATCAGTTATCTTAGATGGACTGCGTGATGCACACCCTGGAGTCGCTAAAATGAAGTCCCTAGACCGTTTTTTATCTAGTGGCGTTATTTAGCCAGGGACATTGCGTCCAAAGTTGGGGGTTGCGTACATTATCAAGAGAATCGGAAGGCTGTGTCCCATGTGCCAATGCAGCCATGGAAATGGCCAGACGCACCATGGAAACGTATTCACGTGGATTTTTATGGCACTTTCGAAGGTCAGATGATCTTGTTAATCATTGATGCCAATTGCAAGTGGATTGAGGGCTACTTCTCGACTGCAGCAAATTCAGCTAACACAATAGCTAAACTGCGTACGACGTTTGCAATCTTCTGTCTGTCAGCTAGTGAAACGGCATTCACTATTGCCGAATTTTATTCCTACCTTACCTTGAATGACATGAGACACGTAACTACTGCGACTTATCATCCTTCATTAAACAGTTTGGTTGAGAGAGCTGTGTAGACAATGAAAAATATGGTATTGAAGCAAGCAGCAGACCCACTGCGTGTGCTTTTGGACCGCATCCTTTGAGCTTATGGGAACATGGCAAACGAAACCACCAATAGAAGCCCGCAGAATAATTGTTGGGCCGTCGGTTGAGTACACGTTTGCGTTTATTGCACGGTTCACTTGGTTCGGATGTTTGCAAAAAACAAGAACGCGCAAAGCAACGCTCTGACACCGGCAGCAGAGACAGGCCAATAGAAGAATCTGATCCCATCTATGTCCATTTCCCCAGAGATTCCGTGTGGCAACCAGTCATTGTTAAAACAGTCATAAGGCAAATCCTTGAAGCAAAAGCTGAGAATGGCAGGATTGTCGGACGCCACTTAGATTACGTGCAGCCGAGACCGTCGAACTAAGCAACAATCGGTGAGTCAGGAATCCAGACACCGGAGCTGATCGATTCACAACTGGGATATGCTGAACCACAGAACCAAGTGTCTCTACATCGGTCTATACGCCAGCTCCGGCCGGTGGATCGATTCCAAGTCGGAGAGTTCAAACCACAGAGGGCAGGGGTGTACGTCTCGCCAGACGTTCTCCACGTGCCAGCGTTCGTGTATGTGTATTACAGCTATAGGCTGCCTGCCGTAATCATTTGTTGGTAATTCGATTCTGTGTACATATGACTTCGAGTGCATTGCACCCCTTCTTTGTGTACAGTGGAACTTGACATTTACGTGAATAGGCATCTAACAACGCAGCTGTGTTTTCTGATATCGTCTTGGAGTAACAGAAATCATTAAAACTGATCCAGATAGACCAAACTGCAAAACAATTTATAGGAAATTGATTATTTCGCAGCAATTTGTTATAGAATGATTTTTTTTAACAGGAATGGGAATTGTCATTTTGAAGCCTTGCCTCGTTAAAGACCGTTTGATACACACCAAACGTATACCCGTCGGTGCTCATCATTGGAGTGTGGAAGAGCAGATATTAAATTTTCCACCGCAAAGGGTTCAAATGGCCTTAGGTTTTTCGGTATTTACACACTGAACAACTGCATATGTTTTAGTCGAAAATGCCCGGACTATCCAACAGACTACATGGTATGATACGTTTGCCAAAATCATAAAGAAGGACTGAATCCTGTCGAAACACGAACGTACAGTTGGCTTTGTAGAAAACAACTGGAATAGACAGTGAGATGAGTCATTGCAAGGGTATGGTGGCTGAATTTAAAGTGGCTAAGTGAGACGCAGAACAAGGAAAGTGGCAGTCCAAATAGCTTAGTCTGAATTTGTTGTAGTGTTCTACTATTGCATCCGGCCTTCTTGTGGTACAGTACAACATGTGGCCAGTTGTTTTAGCCGGAAGGATCCATTTGTCCAGAGCAAAATCTTTCTTTCATTGATACATCCTCAGGTCCAGCGTGAAAAACACTTCGTTGCGAAGGATTTCCTAGTCTATCGAATTGACCACTTTTCAAAATGAGGCTGGTC